TTTCTTGGTCTTTAGTTGCCAGTCAATTGGTGATACCTAGTTTATCCAGGAGCCGCTGATTTTTTTGGCTAGTTCTTCAACCTAGTCACACATATGGGAATTCATTTCCATAGTGCTTTTGATTGCTGTGTTCAATATTTTATAATTTTTTTGGCCATGGTCCTGCCTGGATAGAGCCAGTGGAGCACTAGCACTTGAATGCAGTTGCCTGGGCTTGAATCCTAGCAACTTCAATTACTCTCTGTTTATTCTTGGTGAGTTAACCTAACCTCTCCTGAGTCCTCATCTGTAAAATGTGGATAATAATAGTACCTCATTCTTGCGGTTGTTGTGAGCAATAAATTAATGTATGTCAAGTACTTGTTGCCTGGCATGTAATAAATTCTCAATGAATGGAACTATTGGTGTTGATAATGACAATGATGATGATCAACAGTAATGGTGGCATATGCAACAACACAATGTGCCAAATACAGTGTTAGGTGCTGGACCAGATACATAGAAGAATATTGAAAAGTCCTTGTTCTCATGGAGAGTATATGTTCTCCTTGGTGATAAAAATTAAGAATATTTCCTCAAGACTTCCTAACAAAGGGCCTATAAAAGAGGCTTAGCATTTTATAGTTCAATAAAGACCAAGAAATAATGAAATCAAGAAAGTGTTGATATTTCCAGAACCTGTGTAGCTTTGGTATGTTGTGTGTGCTCAGTCGTGTCTGACTCTTTGCAACCCCATGGACTGTAGCCCATCAGGCTCCTCTGCCCGTGGGATTCTCCAGGAAGGAATACTGGAGTGAGTTGCCATTACTTTGTTTGCACTCTCTATTATTGTCTCGTTGGTAATTAGTTTTATTTATTTATTTATTTTTTACATTCATTTACATTTTTATTTTATTTATTTATTTTTTAATTTTTATTAGTTGGAGGCTAATTACTTTACAATATTGTAGTGGTTTTTGTCATACATTGACATGAATTAGCCATGGATATACATGTATTCCCATCCCGATCCCCACTCCCACCTCCCTCTCCACCCGATCTCTCTGGGTCTTCCCAGTGCACCAGGTCCGAGCACTTGTCTCATGTATCCAACCTGGGCTGGTGATCTGTTTCACCCTAGATAATATACATGTTTCGATGCTGTTCTCTTGAAACATCCCACCCTCGCCTTCTCCCACAGAGTCCAAAAGTCCGTTCTATACATCTGTGTCTCTTTTTCTGTTTTGCATATAGGGTTATCGTTACCATCTTTCTAAATTCCATATATATGTGTTAGTGTACTGTAATGGTCTTTATCTTTCTGACTTACTTCACTCTGTATAATGGGCTCCAGTTTCATCCATCTCATTAGAACTGATTCAAATGAATTCTTTTTAATGGCTGAGTAATATTCCATGGTGTATATGTACCACAGCTTCCTTATCCATTCATCTGCTGATGGGCATCTAGGTTGCTTCCATGTCCTGGCTATGATAAACAGTGCTGCGGTGAACATTGGGGTGCACATGTCTCTTTCAGATCTGGTTTCCTCGGTGTGTATGCCCAGAAGTGGGATTGCTGGGTCATATGGCAGTTCTATTTCCAGTTTTTAAAGAAATCTCCACATTGTTCTCCATAGCGGCTGTACTAGTTTGCATTCCCACCAACAGTGTAAGAGCGTTCCCTTTTCTCCACACCCTCTCCAGCATTTATTGCTTGTAGACTTTTGGATAGCAGCCATCCTGACTGGCGTGTAATGGTACCTCATTGTGGTTTTGATTTGCATTTCTCTGATAGTGAGTGATGTTGAGCATCTTTTCATGTGTTTGTTAGCCATCTGTATGTCTTCCTTGGAGAAATGTCTGTTTAGTTCTTTGGCCCATTTTTTGACTGGGTCATTTATTTTTCTGGAGTTGAGCTGGAGGAGTTGCTTGTATATTTTTGAGATTAATCCTTTGTCTGTTGCTTTGTTTGCTATTATTTTCTCCCAATCTGAGGGCTGTTTTTTCAACTTGCTTATAGTTTCCTTTGTTGTGCAAAAGCTTTTAAGTTTCATTAGGTCCCATTTGTTTATTTTTGCTTTTGTTTCCAATATTCTGGGATGTGGGTCATAGAGGATCCTGCTGTGATTTATGTCAGAGAGTGTTTTGCCTATGTTCTCCTCTAGGAGTTTTATAGTTTCTGGTCTTACATTTAGATCTTTAATCCATTTTGAGTTTATTTTTGTGTATGGTGTTAGAAAGTGTTCTAGTTTCATTCTTTTACAAGTGGTTGACCAGTTTTCCCAGCACCACTTGTTAAAGAGGTTGTCTTTTTTCCATTGTATATTCTTGCCTCCTTTGTCGAAGATAAGGTGACCATAGGTTCGTGGATTTATCTCTGGGCTTTCTATTCTGTTCCATTGATCTATATTTCTGTCTTTGTGCCAGTACCATACTGTCTTGATGACTGTGGCTTTGTAGTATAGTCTGAAGTCAGGCAGGTTGATTCCTCCAGTTCCATTCTTCTTTCTCAAGATTACTTTGGCTATTCAAGGTTTTTTTTATTTCCATACAAATTGTGAAATTATTTGTTCTAGTTCTGTGAAAAATACCATTGGTGGTAATTAGTTTTAAAAAGTCAAAGCACATGTGTAACTTCAAGGGAGAGCAGCGAAGGTAAGTATGATCCTCAGTTCCTTTCTCATACTCAGTCCTTCCTGGGCTCTTTGATTCTAATATGACTACAACAAAACTTCTTGCCTTACTTCTATACCCGTTTCTTCTCTTCCAGCCCCTGTCACTGTTACAAGTCTTACTAGCCAGGTGTTTAACTTTGACATGCATACTAGGCATCTTTGCCTTCACCTTCATTCTTTCCATTCAGTCAGTCACTCCATTTTGTCAGTTCTGCTTTTCAAACCTATTTGTGTTCTCTTGTCTTCCTGTTCTGGTTTAGGTCTGCCCTGCAGCAGATGCAGTGAGTACATGTATTCCAAATGTGTGTTCCAAACACTGATGGGACTTTTAGCACACAATATTCAATTTTCTTGATACCTTTGAGAAGTAGTTCATTTTGTAGTTGAAAACCCAGAGGATGAGAGAGATACATTGACTTTGCCCAGTTGGTTAAAAGCATAGTTAAATAAACTTAGGTTGTCTTTTTGTCCAGTAATCTCTGTCTTCTTTGAATGTTTTCTTTCCTGAAATTTAAAAGTAAGACTTATCTGTAAAAAAAAATCAGAGCTATATAAAATAAAAAGTAACAGTTGCCCCCCTCAGTTCTGCTTCTCAAGAGGAACCAGTGATAATGGGTTTTGTTCTAGATTTTTTTCTTTGCATATACAAATGTATAGATAGATACTTTAGCCAACAAATCATTCAAGTATAGTCCTAAAATGACTCTTATTTTTCACTCAGGATCTATGTTCATACAGATTGACCATATTTTAAAAATGGATACATAGTATGCCATCATATGGAAATATTGTTTTGTTTAATGATTTCTCTGTTAAAGAACTTGTTTTTGCTCTTATAAATAATATTGCAGTAACTTTCTTGTACATACACCTTGCATACACATTTATGTGAATATTTCTATTAGCTAGATTCTTAGATGTGGTATTGCTTGCTTTTGGAGTATGCACATTTTACAATGTGTTATCTGTTATTGAATCTGAAGCTCTGATAATTTGGCCACCTGATGCAAAGAACTGACTCATTGGAAAAGACCCTGATGCTAGGAAAGATTGAAGGCAGGAGAAGGGGATGACAGAGGATGAGATGTTTGGATGGAATCACTGACTCGATGGACATGAGTTAGAGCAAACTCCTGAAGTTGGTGAAGGATAGGGAAGCCTGGTGTGCTGCAGCCCATGGGCTTGCAAAGAGTCAGACTTGATTAAGCAACTGAACAACAATGTGTTACTGTACTTCAATTTGTCTTTTGAACCAGCCTTTCATACTATAGCTAGAGTGATCTTTGTAAAACAAATTTGAGTATGTGATTTCCCAATATCAAAAACAAAGCAACAACAAAGGTGTTTGATGGATTTCTATTCTCTGTGTCATCAACTTAAAAATTCTTAATTTTTAAGAGTATTTGAGAATTACATAATCAGTTTTCCAGTTATATTTCCTACCATTGTCCCCAACGAACAAACATACATATACTCTGTTCTATAAGGCAAAATCCACCGTTCTATAAAACCTTCCACATGTGTATAGTTCTCTCTCTTCTCTGTCTAGGCAAGATAGAACTAATTACTCCCTTCTCTAAGTTCCCATAACAGTTTATTATCCCTCTAAGTGTTCTTAGTACACTGTACTGTGTTTGTGTGTACATTTCTCCTCTACTACTCTGTGATCTTCTTCAGCACAGGAACTGTGCCTCACTCATCTTTGTATCTGTAGCACTTTGCACAATGCCTGTCAGAGTGGGTTCTCAACAAATGTGAGTGAAATAGGTGAATATATTCTTGAGGTAGTGTTAGCAATAAGAACTTTGGGAGATAGAGTAGGTGATGGCCATTTTGAAGTGTAGCAGAAAGCTGACTGAATCCAGGACTCTGGTCAGGAAAGGTTTGGAAGGAAATAGGCTTCAACTGGCAGAGATCCCTGTGTGGTTTTCTCCACTACAGAGATCAGCTGTCTGATTATTTGGCTTAATAGATATATGACTTGAGAACATTAAGGGTACTGAAAATTAGATAATTGAGGATCCACTTGGTGGAAGGAGAATTTGACTGAGCTGTTGTATCCTCTTTCCAGACTAAGATGCTCATGTTGAAAGACCCAATTGTTTGCCAGAGTCATGAATAAATTTTTCTTCTTGAAAAATTAGTCTCTTCATTTTCAGGGTAGGATTCACCTGGAAGTAGGAATGGTAAATTGGTCACATAGTTCTATGTTGTTTCTTTAGCCTAACTCAAAGGGGAAATAGTAAATTATCTGTATAAAATTAGTTTTTATCTTATTTCAGGCAAATCTGGTGGCCTGGTAGCTTTGAAGAAAGAAGAGTAGAAGGAAAAACTAGGACAAGTCATGTCGGAGATACTTGATCTCTCTTTTCTGTCTGAGGTGGAAAGGGATTTGATCCTCAGTGTTCTACAACGAGATGAGGAACTCCGAAAAGCAGATGAGAAAAGGATTAGGTAAGAGTCCCAGAAAAATCATGTTCCCAGGCCCTTAACCAATGATACCTGGACTTTTCCTTATACTTCTTATCTGACTTTCAGAGGAACTTGTGTATGAGGTTTACAGCTCCTCACTGGGTCAGGTTGGGCTCTGTTGCTTTCACAGAACTAAATAGTCTTACTGTCTCCACCCCTCAACCCATCTCTATCCAGCCCATGCAGCCTCCAAATCACTTGTGCTTCTCTTTTGGGTATTGGCAGGCGACTGAAGAATGAGTTACTGGAGATAAAAAGGAAAGGAGCCAAAAGGGGCAGCCAGCGCTATAGCGATCGGACCTGCGCCCGGTGCCAGGAGAGCCTGGGCCGTTTGACTCCCAAGACCAACACTTGTTGGGGTTGTAATCACCTGGTGTGTCGGGACTGCCGCGTTCAGGAAAGCAGCGGTGCCTGGAAGTGCAAGGTGTGCACCAAGGAAATGTGAGTGTTACTTAGAGCTGAGAGAAGAAAGGGGGCCCCAGTTGTAGTTAGCATTTCTCCCCTTGTCCTTTATTAGTTGAATATCAAGGGCCATTTTTTTTCATTTATTTTTATTAGTTGGAGGCTAATTACTTTACAATATTGTAGTGGTTTTTGCCATACATTGACATGAATCAGCCATGGATTTACATATGTTCCCCATTCTGATCAAGGGCCGTTTTTTAAAAATCCATCTCTCGTTTTCTTTTATTCCTTCCCAGAGAGCTGAAGAAGGCAACTGGAGACTGGTTTTATGACCAGAAAGTGAATCGCTTTGCTTACCACACGGGCAGTGAGATAATCAGGATGTCCCTGCGCCGCAAACCTGCAGGTACCAGACCTGTTGGGATATGGTTCCTTGAGGTGCTTGACCTCATTCATAGACCCTCTGGTGTGGAATCTTAGTGTATTCTTACTGGTTGTGTGTCTTCCTTCATTCCATGGGCTCAACCCATTTGTGGGCAACATAAAGACTGTGTTGCCATCCTTTCTGCAAGCATGCTGTGTTCCCCTCCCCCCACATCCCCCCCCCCCCCCCCCCGCCATCATCACCCATATGCCATGCTTTTGTTTGTCTTGAAGTGAATAAAAGAGAGACAGTGGAACAGTCTCTCCTTCATCAGTCACAATTGGGTGATATCTGGCCAGGAAGAAAGATCATTCAGGAGCAACAGAAGGAGCCCAGGTAAGAACCAAGCAATCATTTAAAGAAATGACTGCACATGCCTCTAATTGTTTTGTTTTTTAACTTCTATTTATAAAATAATAGATGTTCATTGTAGGAAAATTTGGAAATTACAGAAAAGAGTAAACAAGGAAGAAAAAAAATTCCTAATCCTGTAACCCACATATAAACATCAACATTTTGGTATATTTACTTTTTTCTTTATAAGAACAATTTGAAGACAAAATGCAAATAACACAAACTCATTATTAAATTTAACCAGTATAGAAAACAATAAAGAAAACAACAAATCACCCAAAACCTTACTACCCCAGTATTCATATTATATGAAGTTATTTCAGTTATGTTTTTTGCATATATATAGATTGAGGAATAGGTGGATGGATAGATCAAAAAACTTTTATAATATTGGATCATAATATATTAAAAGCTTTGGTTCATTTTACTTGAATTTAATAGAATAAACACTGAAATAAAATGCAGGAATCACTAATCTTCAGATGAATGTTTCTTTACTGTAAAGGATATTAGTCATTAATATCCATCTAAAATTAATAAAAAATATTATGAAAACCAGTGAGAAGTTAGTCATTTTTGTATAGTATCTTTCTGGTAATAGCCTTATCAAGCTATAATTCAGGCCATATAATTCACCCATTACTAGTGTACAATGAAGTAGATTTTACAGAATTGTGCAACCATCACCTCAATTGATTTTAGAACTTTTTATTACCTTAAAAAGAAACTCTCGTACCCTTTAGCTATCACTGCCTCTCACCCACCTCCATATCATTCCCCATCCCTAAACAGTCTCTGATCTACTTTTAATTTCTATGTTGGACATTTTATTTAAACAGAATCATAAAATATGTGGTCCTTTGTGACTGTTTTTTCTCGCTTAACATAATGTTTTCAAGATTCATCCATGTTCAAGCATGTATCAGTACTTCATTTCTTTTTATTGCCAAATAATATTCCATTATATGTAAATACCCCCATTTGTTTATCCATTCATCTGTTGATAGATGTTTCGGTTTGTTCTACTTTTTGGACCAATGCTATTATGAACATTTGTAATGAGTTTTTATGTGGACATGTTAGTCCCTCAGTCGTGTCTGACTCTGCAACCCCATGGACTGTAGCCTGCCAGGCTCCTCTGTCCATAGAATTCTCCAGGCAAGAATACTGGAGTGGGTAGCCATTCCCTTCTCTAGGGGATCTTCCTGACCCAGGGATTGAATCTGGGTTTTCTGAACTGCAGGCAGATTCTTTACTGTCTGAGCCACTATACTTTAATTAAAAAAAAATGAAAAATAATGAAATAAAATACTTAGGGAAAAAAGGAATTGCTTTTTATATACTTCTTTTCTATAACCCAAAGGAGGGCTTACTAAGGGATAGAGATACCAAGGGAACCCTTCATGCAAAGATGGGCTCAATAAAGGACAGAAATGGTATGGACCTAACAGAAGCAGAAGATATTAAGAAGAGGTGGCAAGAATACACAGAACTATACAAAAAAGTTCTTCATGACCCAGATAACCACAATGGTGTGATCACTCACCTAGAGCCAGACATCCTGGAATGCAAAGTCAAGTGGGCCTTAGGAAGCATCAATATGAACAAAGCTAGTGGAGGTGATGGAATTACAGTTGAACTATTTCAAATCCTAAAAGATGATGCCAGCAAATTTGGAAAACTCAGCAGCGGCCATAGGACTGGAAAAGGTCAGTTTTCATTCCAATCCCTAAGAAAGGCAATGCCAAAGAATGTTCAAACTACTGCACAATTGCACTAGCAAAGTAATGCTCACAATTCTCCAAACTAGGCTTCAACAGTACGTGAACCAAGAACTTCTAGGTGTTCAAGCTGGATTTAGAAAAGGCAGAGGAACCAGAGATCAAATTGCCAACATCCGTTGGATCATGGAAAAAGCAAGAGAGTTCCAGAAAATTATCTACTTCTGCTTTATTGACTACGCCAAAGCCTTTGACTGTGTGGATCACAACAAACTGTGGAAAATTCTTAAAGAGGTGGGACTACCAGGGCACCTTACCTGCCTCCTGACAAATCTGTATGTAGGTTAAGAAGCAACTGTTAGAATTGGATATGAAACAACAGACTGGTTCCAAATCAGTAAAGGTGTATGTCAAGGCTGTATATTGTCACCCTGCTTATTTAACTTATATGCAGAGTGCATCATGCAAAATGCCAGGCTGGATGAAGCACAAGCTGGAATCAAGAATGCTGGGAGAAATATCAATAACTTCAGATATGCAGATGATACCACCCTTATAGCAGAAATAGAAGAACTAAAGAGCCTCTTACTAAAAGTGAAAGAGGAGAATTTAAAAGCTGGCTTACAACTCAACATTCAGAAAACTAAGGTCAGGGCATCTGGTCCCATCACTTTATGGCAAGTAGATGGGGAAACAATGGAAACAGTGAGAGACTATTTTGAGGGACTCCAAAATCACTGCAGGTGGTGACTGTAGCCATGAAATTAAAAGATGCTTGCTCTTTGGAAGAAAAGCTGTGATCAACCTAGACAGCATATTAAAAAGCAGAGACATAACTTTGCTGACAAAGGTCCATCTAGTCAAAGCTGTGGTTTTTCCAGTAGTCATGTGTGGATGTGAGAGTTGGATTTTAAAGATAGCCGAGCAGCGAATTGTTTTTTTTTTTGAACTATGGTGTTGGAGAAGACTCTTGAGAGTCCCTTGGGCTGCAAGGAGATCCAACCAGTCCATCGTAAAGGAAATCAGTCCTGAATATTCACTGGGAGGAGTGATGCTGAAGCTGAAACTCCAATACTTTGGCCACCTGATATGAAGAACTGACTCATTTGAAAAGCCCCTGTTGCTGGGAAAGATTGAAGGTAGGAGGAGAAGGGGACGACAGAGGATGAGATGGTTGGATGGCATCACTGACTTGATGGACACGAATTTGTGCAAGCTCTAGGAGTTGGTGTTAGGGAATCCTGGAATGCTGCAATCCATGGGGTAGCAAAGAGTTAGACATGACTGAGCAACTGAACTGAACTGAAGGGAGGGGCAAAAGATAACTTGGGGATACTGGGTTTCAGTTTCCTGAAATTCTCATAAGTGTCTTGTTGTTGTTCAGTCTCTCAGTCATGTCCTACTCCTTGCAACCCCATGGACTGCAGTATACCAGGCTTCCCTGTCTGGCTCACTCAGTCTTGAGTGTTTGGTCTCACTCAATCTAGCTCTAGATGCATCCTCTGGTTTATACCAGTGCCCTGAGAGGTGACATCCCACACAAGGCTTGTCTGCCTTGGTTGGGATGCCCCATTGATACCTGGGGTATAAATCTTGAGCATTTTTGTTTTCTTTATCTTACCCCAGGATTGCCTACTCACTCACTTAATCTGTACACATTGGAAGAAGTTTTGCCAAGCTAGATCTTTCTTCTGTTTTATTAGCCTTCACTTTTCAACTTCATGTCTTGAGGCTTTATTCCTTTATTCCTTTATTTGGTTGCTTCTGGCAAAGTTTTGACTTTTTATTTGTGTTTTCCCACCCTAACTTTCTCTCATCCAAAGAGAAATGAGATTTTATCAGGTTTTATATGATTGATGGAAAGCAATATAGAAATATATCAAATGCGTCCCCAGTAAGTTTACTTCTTCTGCCCCAGACAGTTATTGTTATTAATAATTCTGGTGTATAAGACTACCACACTGTCTCAATGTACAAATATGAGTTGGATTCTTAAAATTTTAATTTCTTTTTACAAAAGGATCATACTGTATACATTGTTGTCGTTCAGTTGCTAAGTCGTGTCCGACTCTTTGTGACCCCGTGGACTGCAGCATGCCAGGCTCCTCTGTCCTTCACTATCTCCCAGAGTTTGCTCAAATTCATGTCCATTGAGTTAGTGATGCTGTCTAACCATCTCATCCTCTGTCATCCCTTCCTCTTCCTGCCTTTAATCTTTCCCAGCATTAGAGTCTTTTCCAATGAGTCAGCTCTTCACATAAGGTAGACAAAGTGTTGGAACTTCATCATCAGTTCTTCCAATGAATATTGAGGGTTGATTTCCTTTAGGATTGACTGGTTTGATCTCCTTGCTGTCCAAGGGACCTTCAGGAGTCTTCTCCAGCACTACAATTTGAAAGCATCAATTCTTTGATACTCATCTTTCTTAATTCCTTTCTTTGGGCTTCTCTGGTAGCTCAGATGGTAAAGAATATGCCTGCACTGCAGGAGACCCGAGTTTGATCCCTGGGTCAGGAAGATCCCCTGTAGATGGGCATGGCAACCCACTCCAGTATGCTTGTCTAGAGAATTCTATGAACAGAGGAGTCTGGTGGGCTACAGTCCATGGGGTCGCAAAGAGTCAGACACGACTAAATGACTAACACTATGCTTACTATGCTTTCTTAATTCCTTCAGTATTTTCATTACCCCATTTTTGAACTTGGTGTCTATTAGAATGAAGAGATCTATTTCGTTGTTTGTTCCTTCAGGGGAGTTCTCTTGGTCTTTTAACTGGGAGTGGTTCCTCTGCTTCTTTATTTTGCTTATGTTTCTCTTATTCTGTGAGTTTAAGGAAACAAATATCTACTTTAGTCTTGGAGGGCTGTTTATCTGCAGGAGTGTTCCTGCGTAGCATAGTGTGTTTAATATTTTTTTGGCATGAGGGCTGTTTTTGGTTCAGGTGCTTGCCGTCTCTTTCCTCATTGCATGTTGGCTGTCATCCCCTTGACAGGGAGAGTGCAAGTGAGCTCCCAGGAAGGCAGGTACAGCAGTTGGCACCCCGTAGTGGGGCCCTTAGTGGTAGCAGCAGACTGTGCCCTCTTTCTGGGGTTTGAGATGGCAGTGGTGGCTCTCACACACCCCTGGAGCAATTGTAGGCAGTGCTTTGCCAATATGAGAGTATATGGTTGTGGAAAGAAGCTTCTATGGCGAGCCCACCCCTGTCCTAGCTCACCCCCGCTAATGGCACCTTGCCTGTCTGGCGGGCCCAGGCTTCTTGTTAGTACCATTATGTGGCCCACCACACCCTAGCCCCCTCAGGCTATCTTCATGCAGGCAACCCCAGTCCTCTTCCCAGCTCTGGCCTCTATAACCTGAGACTCAGCACCTAGCCCCCACCTGCCCCAACAGACCAGTATCTCAGGCTGGGGAATGCCATTGGCACTATTTGTTCAGGTCCCTGTCTGCTTTGCCTTCTGCAAACCTGTTACTACACTCTGCTCTGAGGCTCTAAAGCTGCCCCTCTGTCCTGGCTGATCTCTCTCCAGTGAAGGAACTTTCCTGTGTGTGGAACCCTTTTCTCTTTCACAGTTCCCTCCCAGATCCCTCCCAGGGGCACAGGTCCCAGTCCTGATTCCTTTCTCTCTTCCTTTTTTCCTTTGTCCTGTCCAGTTATATGGAGATTTTTCTTTTGCCCTTTTGGAAGTCTGAGGTCTTCTTCCAGTAGATATTCAGTGAGGATATTCATTGAAAATATTCAGTAGATATTCTGTGAGACTTGTTTCACATGTATTTTTGATATATTTGTGGGAGAAGGTGAATTCTACATCCTACTCCTCTGCCGTCTTGACTGGATCCCCAACCATACCAATTTTTGATGAGGATGTAGAGCAACTGGCATTCTCATACAGTGCTGCTAGGAATGTCCAATGGTGAAGCCACTTTGAAAAACAGTTTAGTAGTGTCTTAACCAGTTAAACGTGCACCTACCTTGTCAGTCAGCTTTTAAATTTCTAGATATTTACACAAGAGAAACACAAGACTACGTCCATACAGAGACTTGTGTATGAATGTTCATGGTGGCTTTGTGATTGTCAAAACCTAGAGATAACCCCAATGTCTATCAGCAGGTGAAAGTATAAACTTTGCTTTGTTTATACAGTGGAATACTACTCAGCAATGGAAAGGAATGGATTACTGATACATGCAACAACATGGATGAATCTCGAAATAATCATGCTGAGTGAAAGAAGCCAAACAAAAAAGAGTAACTACTGTATGACTGTTTATATAAAATTCTAGAAAAATCAAGCTAAACGTTAATGACAGCAGATCAGCACTTACTTGGAGACAGGTCTGAGGAGGGAGAGATGGACTATGAAGGGACATGAGGAAACTTTGGGGAGTGATAGATATGTTCAGTAGCTTAATTGTGGTGATGGTTTCACAAATGTATACATATAGTTGATTCATGTCGATGTATGGCAAAAACCACAGTATTGTAAAGTAATTAGCCTCCAATTAAAATAAATAAAAAAACTCATCAAATCGAACACTTAAACACGTGCATTTTATTAATGTTATAGCCCAAGGTACAAATGGAAAAAAAATGACAGAAAAACATAACATTAGCATCTTCTTCTTTTTTGTTCTCATATGGTGTGTCATTGAATGTATGTACTATGACTTTATCCACACAGCCTTGGTTGGGTGACTCATCTGTTTTAAGTGATGAGCCCCTCCCCTTCTTTTGTGGATAAAAATAGCTTTTATTTCCTGAACTTGATTAACACATCTGACATCACTGGTCAGAATGTAATTTCTGAAGCCCACTGCTTATGGCTGTCTATGACTTCTTGTCTCATTGAACCCAGAAGACTTTCATTTATCCTAAACATGAAAACAGATTAAGTGATCATAAATGATCTTTTTCATAAAATTATGGAGCCTCACAAATAATCTAATTCAACTCCCTTATTTTTGCAGAAAAGAAAGCAGGATAAGTGATTTACCTTAGATCATACAGATAGAGCCCAGGACTCCCATCTCTAAGTTTATTTTTCTACTGCACAGATGTCAAATAATTGCTTTTTTGCCCTAGAGTGGTTTGTATCAGCTTTGGATCAGTACGTATTAATCTTTAGGAAAAAAAAAAAGCAGAAAACACTCTCCACGGACCACTATTAAACTGTCTCTCTAGAGGAATGGTTCTGCTTTGGGTTCTTTGTTCTTTGGAGCAAAGAGGGATAAAGAATGATTCTAAAGTGAAAATGAAATCAAGCTCCCTGCTGTGTTTTTTACTATAAAGCTAATATCTTTCTCAAGAAATGACACTGTTTCACCTCTGGCATGCCCTAGGATTTCAACCCCTGCTGTTTGTTTTCATAGAGCTATCTCAAATATCATGTTATGATAACTTGGAAAGTTTATTCTCTCCTGCCTAAGACATTATAGATTTTGGCTATTTCATTCTGTGTTCTTTTCTTATTAATTCCTTCATTTGTTTGTCTATGAATGCCTACTATTTTCCAGGCACTGTTTTAGGCAATAGGATATACTGGTGAAGACAACAAAGTTCCTTGTTTGAGAAGTGTAGATTTGGGAGTGGGGGACACAGACAGTAAGAGAATGATCAAGTAAATATATGTCAGATGTTGACAAGTGCTATGGAGAAAAAGGAAGTAGTCTAAAAGGGTGTACCAGGAAAGCGTGTATGTATGCAGGCAGTTTTATCTAGGCCAGTGCAAGGAAAGGCTTAATAATAAGATGACATTTGAGAGGAGACAAGCAAAGAGGATACAAACCCTGAGAGCATCTGGGGGAAAGAGATACTTTCTAGGCAGAGAAAGCATCAGGTATAACAATCCTAAAGTGAGTTTGTGTTTGGCACGTATGAGTCATCTGGAACTGGCAAGCAAGGGGAGAGGGTAGGGGATAAAGACAGAGGCTGGGTGAGAAGCAGATCATGTAAGATTTTGACACTTGTAAGGACTTTGTCTTTATTCCGAGTTAGAAGGAGGGCTCTGAATGATGTGATATTATTTTTTTAATTGGGGTAAAATTCATATAAGGTTAATCATTTTAACAGTTTTAAAGTATACAATTCAGTATCTTTTAGTACTTTCAGAATATTGTGCAGCCATCACCACTGTCGGATTTCAGAACATTTTCATCACTCTAAAAGAAACCCTGTACCCATTAAGCAGTCACTCCCTATTTCCGTAACAACTAATCTGCTTTCTGTTTCTATGGATTTGCCTATTCTGGACATTTCCTATAAATGGAATCATACAGAATGTGGCCATTTGTGTCTGGCATTTCACTTTAGCATAATATTTTCAAGGTTCATCCATGTAGCATGTGTAGAACTTCATTCCTTTTTGTTGTCAATAATATTTCTTATATGGCTGTACCACATTTCCTTTATCTGTTCATCTGTTGATAGACATTTGGACTGTTTCCACCTGTTGGCTATTGTGAATAATGCTGCTGTGAACATTTATATACAATTTTTTGTCTGTACACATGCTCCCAGTTCTCTTGGGTAGATACCTATGAGTGGAATTGCTGGGTCGTGTGGTAATTCTGTATTGGATATATATAGTTATAGTTATATTATATAATATAGCTATATATATGTGAGTGTGTGTGTATTTATTCTACATTGCGAGGCTTGCAGGATCTTAGTTCCGCAACCAGGGATTGAACCTGGGCCCCTGGCAGTGGAAGTGTGGAGTCCTAACTACAGGACCACCAGAGAATTCCCTGGGTTTATATTTTTAAAGCTCATTTTAGCTGTTGTGTTGAGGATAGATTGTATGGGGACAAGGGCAGAAGTAGGGAGTTCAGTTAGGAGACTATTACAAGCATTCCTTGAGGTAAGGGGTCCAGGAATTGTGTCCTTCCCTTTAGAGATGAGGACTGTTATTTTGAATGCCCAGGGTCATCCTTCATTAAACTGAAAAGAAATTCTGGTTTTCTTAATAATATCTTCAAAGCATACTGCTTATTTATGTACATACTTTAAGCCCCACTGAAGGCATTTAGTCAAGAATTCAGTCAACAAATAATTGAGTGCCCAGTCTATGCTGGTTTCTCTGCTAGGCATTGGGAACATAGCAATGAACAAAATATGTGATCACTGATCTCCTGGAACTTAGTCTAATAGAAGAGAAAGACACTAAACAAGTCGTTTGTTTAAATTATTGGGCAAATTAAATAATTTGTATAAAAGACATAATAATTATGGATATGATTACTACAAAGACATCAGGTTGCTTTAGGAGAACATAGGAAGGCTACTAATCCATACTTGGGGTTGGGGCATGGTCAGAGATGTGGAGGAATTGACATGTAAGGAGAGACAAGAAGGAGTAGATTTAGCCAGGAGTTTCAAGTAAACAAGAAAAATGGCCACTGTGACCATCCTAGGCAGAGAGAAGAGGAAAGAAAAGTAGCTTTGTCATATTCAGGGAACCAAGAGAGCTTCATCATTCCATAATGTAAAGTATAAGGAGAGGTGGAGGGTGAAAAATGAGTCTGTAGATATGAGCAGGGGGTCAACTCATAAGGATTTTCTTGCCATGCTAAGGAGTTTGAACTCAATCCCAAGGGCAATAGAGAACCTCTGTGCAGTTTTAAAAGTTTACTCAGCTCTTAGAAAGATCACTTAGGCTACCACTGTGAAGGAGTTGGAAGGAAGCCCAACACCCAGCAGGAGAGCCCACTTTCTTTATGTGTTGGCTCTTGGTTTTTATTGTAGCATGTCATTTGAAGTGCCAAAGCTGAAAAGTGGAAAGAATGCACTGGAAGCCGAGAGTGAGAGCCTGGATAGCTATACGGCTGACTCGGATACCATGTCCAGGTGAGATGTCCCCAGTCCCAGCCATTCTGCTCAACTGAGCTCCTGTTTTGTTCTCTAGCGCCAGGGTGTGGGGTTCCCCTGCCTTTGGTGTTCCTGACTTCTGTACTTGGTAAGGTGAATGAAATATTTTCTCTGTTGCTGCAAGTCTCCCACTAGCACTTCTCTGAGCACAGCCTTCTGGAACACACTAACTTCCACAGGCTGCTGCATCTTGGAGGAGTGTTCTTGGACCTTTGGACCAGCATCAGTGGATGCTGCTATCCCTTAGGCATGGGGGTGTGAGTGTTTGTACAAAGCTACTTATCTGATTGTCTGCATTCCTTCAAAGTAAATCAGATGTGAAGTTTACCTTCTGCATTTGGTTACTGACCTTAAGCCAGTGGCTTTCCTTCCATAGAGCTTGGGTCCCTAGATGAACGGGGACGGGGGGAGAAGGTGATTTTATTACAGTTTCTGTATCTGCCCCCAGGAGAGACTCTCTGGATAAATCTGGCCTCTTTCCAGAATGGAAGAAGATGTCTGCCCCCAAACCTCAAGTAGAAAAGGTAAGCTTTAGTTATTGGTTGGTTGATCTCTGTCTTTCTGTCTTTGTCTCTCGCTCTCTTTCTTCTTCCTTTCTCAGGAAGAATTTAAATTAAGAATTGAAGCAAACAAATTTTAGTTCAGATGCCTGTGGTAGCATTTTCTAAGATGTTAGTTGAAACGTGAGAAAATAGGTTTTAGAAAGACACTTAGAGAATGAACTTATAGTTGCCAGGAGGAAAGATGAGGAGAAGAGATAGTTAGGGAGTTTGGAATGGACACTGCTGTATTTAAAATGGATAACCAACAAAGGCCTACTGTATAACATGTGGAACTCTCCTCATTGTTATGTGGCAGCCTGGATGGGACAGGAATTTGGGGTAGGATGGATACATATATATGTATGGCTGAGTCCCTTTATTGTTCACCTGAAACTACCACAACATTGTTAATCAGCTATATCCCAATACAAAATAAAAGTTTAAAAAGTTAGTGTAAACCACAAACAAAAAAATAGATTTTGTGCAACTTCCTAGGATTAAGTTAAAGCCCTAAGATTAGATTAATCTTTCTTTTAAGTTTGTCATAATTTAGTGAATATCTGAGTCTTCTTCCCTAGTCCACTCTTTCACCTACCCAACAGTCTTTTTCCATTATTTTGCCCTTATCTGTCCCTAGGAAACTCAGCCTAGGGGTCAAAATGTGGTATCTGTGGACGAGGGTGAAATGATATTTAAGAAGAACACCAGAAAAATCCTCAGGCCTTCAGGTAGCTGGTTTTCCTTCATGGCCTTTTGAGATGGAAGTTGGGAGTACTTGGTGGGTTATTGGTATGGAGAAGAGTATGTTTCTTTTGCTTTGGTTTTTTATTTTTCACTCAGAATATACTAAGTCTGTGATTGATCTTCGCCCGGAAGAAGTGGGGCATGAAAGTGGTGCCTTGGAAGACAGGAGCAAATCTGTCCCAGGCCTCAGTGTGGATATGGTAAGTACCCTTGTATTTCACCTGGTCACCATATGATATATATATAGTTGACTTTGGGCCTCCCAGGTGGCACTAGTGGTAAAGAACCTGCCTGCTAATGCAGGAGATGTAAGAGACATGGGTTCAATCCCTAGGTCGGGAAGATCCCCTGAGGGGGGCATGGCAACCCACTGCAGTATTCTTGCCTGGAGAATCCCATGGAGGATTCTGGGAGGAGTCTGGTGGGCTACTGTCCATAGGGTCACAAAGAGTCAGACACGACTAAAGCAATTTAGCATGCACGCAAGCAAAGTTGACTTTACTACCTGATACTCTCAATTTACCTGTTTAGTTCCTTAGGAAAAGGTAACATGAATTTTGATTTCTCCCTCAATCCTAAAGTAAATCTGGTTGCTAAATTGCTTAAAGAAAGAGATTATATTTCATTATCTCTTTTGTTTTTTAAACATTGCTTGATATATGGTTGGAGGCTCAAGTAAATACTTCAGTCAGTCTGTTCAGTCATTCAGTCATGTACAACTCTGCATGCCAGGCTTCCCTGTCCATCACCAACTCCTGGAGCTTGCTCAGACTCATGTCCATCAAGTCAGTGATGCTGTCCAACCATCTCATTCTCTGTCATCCCCTTCTCCTCCTGCCTTCAATCTTTCCCAAGCATCAGGGTCTTCTCAAATGAGTCAGGTCTTCGCATCAGGTGGCCAAAGTATTGGAGTTTCAGCTTTAGCATAAGTCCTTCCAATGAATATCCAGGACTGATTTCCTTTAGGATGGACTGGTTTGATCTCCTTGCAGTCCAAGAGACTCTCAAGAGTCTTCTCTAACACTCCAGTTCAAAAGCATGAATTCTTTGGTGCGCAGCTTTCTTTATAGTCCAACTCTCACATCCATACGTGACTACTGGAAAAACGATAGCTTTGACTAGACGGACCTTTGTCAGCAAAGTTATGTCTCTGCTTTTTACTATGCTGTCTAGGTTGGTCATAGCTTTTCTTCCAAGGAGCAAGCATCTTTTAATTTCATGGCTGTAGTCACTATCTGCAGTGATTTTGGATCCCAAGAAAGTAAAGTCTGTCACTGTTTCCCCATCTATTTGCCATGAAGTGATGGGACCAGTTGCCACAATCTTAATTTTTTGAATGTTGAATTTTAAGCCAGCTATTTCACTCTATTTCACTGTCATCAAGAGGCTCTTTAGGTTTTCTTCGCTTTCTACCCTAAGGGTGGTGTCATCTGCATATCTGAGGTTGTTGATACTTCTCCTAGGAATCTTGATTCCAGCTGGTGCTTCATCCAGCCTGGCATTTCACATGATGTACTCTGCATTTAAGTTAAATAAGCAGAGTTACAATATAAAGCCTTGATGTACTCCTTTCCCAATTTGGAACCAGTCTGTTGTTCCATGTCTTCTTCTAACTGTTGCTTCTTGACATGCATACAGGTTTCTCGGGAGGCAGGTCAGGTGGTCTGGTATTCCCATCTCTTTCAGAATGTTCCACAGTTTGTTGTGATCCACACAGTCAAAGGCTTTAGCATAGTAAATGAAGCAGACATAGATGTTTTTCTGGAATTCCGTTACTTTTTAAGTGATCCAACGGATGTTGGCAATTTGATCTCTGGTTCCTCTGCCTTTTCTAAATCCACCTTGAACACCTGGAAGTTCTTGGTTCACGTACTGTTGAAGCCTGGCTTGGAGAATTTTGAGCATTACTTTGCTAGTGTGTGACATGCGTGTATGTGTGCAGTAGTTTGAACATTCTTTGGCATTGCCTTTCTTAGGGATTGGAATGAAAGCTGACCTTTTCCAGTCCTGTGACCACTTCTGAGTTTTCTAAATTTGCTGGCATATTGAGAGCAGCACTTTCATGGCATCATCTTTTAGGATTTGAAATAGCTCACCTGGAATTATGTCACCTCCATAGCTTTGTTCATACTGATGCTTCCTAAAGCCCACTTGACTTCGCATTCCAGGATGTCTGGCTCTCAGTGGGTGATCACACCATCACGGTTATTTAGGTCATTAAGGTCTTTTTTGTATAGTTCTTCTGTGTATTCTTGCCACCTCTTCTTAATATCTTCTTCTTTTGCTAGGTCCCTACTATTACTGTCCTTCATTTTGCCCATCTTTGCATGAAATGTTCCTTTGATATATCTAATTTTGTTGAAGAGATCTCTAGTCTTGCTCATTCTATTGTTTTCCTCTATTTCTTTGCATTGATCATGGAGGAAGACTTTCTTATCTCTCCTTGTTATTCTTTCAAACTCTACATTCAGTTGGGTATCTTTCCTTAACTCCTTTGCCTTTCACTTGTCTTCTTTTCTCAGCTATTTGTAAGGCCTCCTGAGACAACCATTTTGTCTTTTTGCATTTCCTTTTCTTGGGGATGGTTTTGATCACAGCCCCTTGTACAGTGTCATGAACCTCGGTTCATAGTTCTTCAGGCAGTGTGTCTATCAGGTCTAATTCCTTGAATCTATTTGTCACTTCCACTGTATAATCATAAGGGATTTGTATTAGGTCAAACCTGAATAGTCTAATGGTTTTCCCTACTTTCTTAAATTTAAGTTTGAATTTCAATGAGGAGTTCATGATCTGAGCCACAGTCAGTTCCCAGTTTTGATTTTGCTGATTCTATAAAGCTTCTCCATCTTTGGCTGCAAAGAATATAATGAATCTGATTTTAGTATTGACCATCCAGTGATGTCCATGTGTAGTGTCATTTCTTCTGTTGTTGGAAGAAGGTGTTTGCTATGACCACTGCATTCTCTTGGAAAAATTCTGGTAGCCTTGCCCTGCTTCATTTTGTACTCCAAGGCCAAATTTGCCTGTTACTCTAGGTATCTCTTGACTTCCTACTTTTGCATTCCAGTCCACTATGAAGAAAATGACATCTTTTTTTGGTTTTAGTACTAGAAGGTCTTGTAGGACTTCATAGAACCATTCAAATTCAGCTTCTTTGGCATTAGTGGTTTGGGCATAGACTTGGATTACTGTGATATTGAATGGTTTGCCTTTGTAACAGAGATCATTTTGTTGTTTTGAGACTGCTCCCAAGTACTTCATTTCAGACTCTTGTTGACTGTGAGGGCTACTCCATTTCTTCTAAGGGATCCTTGCCCACAGTAGTAGATATAATGGTCAACTGAATTAAATTCACCCATTCTAATTCATTTAGTTCCATGATTCCTAAAATGTCAATGTTCACTCCCATCTCCTGTTAGACTACTTCCAATTTACCTTGATGCATGGACCTAACATTCCAGGTTTCTATGCAATATTGTTCTTTACAACATCGAACTTTACTTTCATCACCAGTCACATCCACAACTAGGCATTGTTTTCTCTTTGGCTCAGCTTCTTCATTCTTTCTGGAGCTATTTCTCTCCTCTTCTCCAGTAGTATATTGGGCATCTACCAACCTGGGGAGTTAATCTTTCAGTGTCATATCTTTTTGCCTTTTCATACTGTTCATGGGGTTCTCAAGGCAAGAATACTGAAGTGGTTTGCCATTCCCTTCTCCAGTGGATCACATTTTGTCAGAACTCTCCACCATGACCTGTTCATCTTGGGTGGCCCTACACTGCATGGCTCTAGTTTCATTGAGCTACATAAGTCTGTGATCTGTGTGATCAGTTTGGTTAATTTTCTATAATTGTGGTTTTCATTCTGTCTGCCCTCTGATAGATAAGGATAAGAGGCTTATGGTAACTTCCAAATTGGTGGGACTAGCTGTGGGGGAATCTGGGTCTTTCTCTGATTGGGGGGGATGTTCAGTAAATCTTTAATCTAGTTTTCTGCTGATGAGTGGGGCTGTATTCCCTTCCTATAGTTTGACCTCAGGCCAAACTATGGTAGGGGTAATGGCGGTAACGGCAACCTCCTTCAAAAGGACTTAATGCCAGCATGTTCTGTGGCTCCCAGGTCTGTTGTATTCAGTGCCCCTGACCCTGCAGCAGGCCACTGTTGACCCACGCCTCCACTGGAGACTCCTGGACACTCTTTGATATAATTGTTCTCCAGTTCGTGGGTCATCTTCTCGTGGCTCTGTGGTGGGGCTAATGGCAATCTCCTCCAAGGGATTTATGCCACACTTAATAAAATGTAAAGAGATGGCTGGGTTGGGGCAGTCAAATTAAAAAGAGATATTGTTACTATTTTGTGATTTGAGAAGGATGGTTGGGATGTAGTTTGGGAGCCTGAAATAGGGAAACACAAAGATAGAGATAAGCATGTATGTGTGCACATGACACCTCAGAGCTTAGCAACAATTATGGCCCTACTAAAGGAAAGATATTTGTTTTTGAACTTTTTCTTATTTCTGTTAACTCTGATCTATATTTATCATTCCAGGAAGAGGAAGAAGAAGAAGAAGATATTGACCACCTGGTGAAATTGCATCATCAGAAGCTAGCCAGAAGCAGCATGAGAAGTGGTTCCTCCATGGTAAGTTGTTAGTTCTGTGGCTGTGGACATGTTGGAGTACCAGGAAAGATGGAAGTACTTCCCTAGAGCAGAGTCAGGATGTGGGGAAGTTCTGGTTATTCTTTCTAGGTAAGTGAGATGCATTTGTTTGTTCCTTTTCTCAAGTTAGACCATAGTTGCTTAGTACACAGTTAGGTGACTTTCTGTCTCTGCCCTGGAAATTCTCATTTCATGTAGTTAGGGCTAGAGATGTTCATCACAGCTTTGTGAACAGTAACCCATAACTTCTACCCTAAAAAGGTACCCAAGCCACAAAGTGAGAAAGATCAGGTGTCCTCATCAGAGCACACCCCAAGTCTCACATTCAAGGGCAGTGAATGCCACGAGAAGGGCCTTGGCAGGGTTAACTGGCATCAGGATATGATTAAGGGAAAACTATACCAATCAGAATGATAAAGTTAAAGGGACATTTAAGAATTAGGACCTAGTTCTGCCATTAAGTATGAAGATTGATGTTTAGGGGAAACAGAGTCAGAAAGCAGGGTGATTAGATGATCACACTCACACAGGAAGAGAATGGTAGGCTTGCAGAGTCGATTATTAGCTGAGAGGGATGTGGCTTTTCACCTCTGGTGGGGTTTTCCCCCCAAATCCGACACAATCACTTTTCTCTTTAGGCCTTGAGAGGGATAAGGTGGATAAAAGAAACCCACAGATAATTAACGCCCCTTGTTTTAATTGGTAACTGATCCCTTCAAATCAACATTGTAACATACATAATATACACCAAAATCAGACTCGCTACCTTTACTCCTTGCCCACCTTCTGGAGCAGTTGAAAATTAACAATAAAAATGTATAAAAAGAGAATAAGAAGAGCAGCTCAGAGCCTAGGTGAGCTGATTGATAAACCTGAGCAGTTGTAAGCAGTTGTGAGTGTGCTCTTAGCTGTCTCTTACATTCTGGGTACAAGACCATTGGCAGTACTGGTTAGTTGCAGGGGCTTTTGTTTTGTTTAGTGACTATGACTTTCTCATGAGTGAAAATGTGAGCAATGTGGCAGGGAGAGTGTGCCTTCACCAGATGTTTATAGGTGCTTTATCTTGTTTATTTCTTCCAGTTTTATTGAGATATAACTGACATACAGCACTGTGTAAGGTTTACTGCATAATGATTTGACTTACATACATCGTGAAATGGTTACCACAATAAGTTTGGGAACATCCATCATCTTATATAGATACAAAATTAAAGAAATAGAGTTTTTTCCTTGTGATGAGAACTCTTAGTATTTGCTCACTTAACCACTTAAATATATATAACACACAGCAGTGTTAATTATATATGTGTGTGTGTGTGTGTTTATCATGTTGTGTATTATATCCCTAATACTTATTTATCTTATAACTGGGAGTTTGTACCTTTTGACTACTTTCATATAATTCCCCCTCCCCTGACCCCTTGCCTCTTATAACAACAAATCTGCTATCTTTTTCTATGAGTTTTGTTTGTGTTTGAAGTATAATTGACCTATAACACTATGTTAGTTCCTGTTACACAACATAATGATTTCTGTAAATTTAAAAATGCTTACCATGATAAGTCTAGTTACCACCTGTTATGTGGGTGCTTTTATCGTCAGAGTACGATTGGCAGCATGATGAGCATCTATAGTGAAGCTGGTGATTTCGGGAACATCTTTGTGACTGGAAAGATTGCCTTTTCTCTGAAGTACGAACAGCAAACACAGGCTCTGGTCATTCATGTGAAAGAGTGCCAACAGTTGGCCTATGCTGATGAAGCCAAGAAGCGCTCAAACCCGTGAGTGTTTCTGGACCCTGCACAGTGCTTGGAGATGATCAGACCCCAACATCTCTTTGGGCACCCTTGAACCAAAGCTCTTACTTCCTGGGCAGACAGGGAGGTGTGATTGAGAGTGGTTAGGGGAGATGTGGGAAAGGGGCCAGGATTGGGAAAATCCAAGAATGGTATGTATAAGAGGGTATGATATTTTCATTTCATCATGGCATATGTGTATGGAGGGCAGGTAAGTGAGAAGCAGGTTTCCAAAAAGACAGCCAATGACTCAGTATTCTCCTTGGCTTCTAGATATGTGAAGGCTTATCTTCTGCCAGACAAATCCCGCCAAGGAAAAAGAAAAACCAGCATCAAGCAGGACACTATTAATCCGTTATATGATGAGATCCTCAGAGTAAGTATCTAGAGTCTGAGAAGATAGGAGAACTTGTTCTGTCTTGTGTGCTGAGCTGTAGCAATTCCTCTACTATATGGCGGTCAACATGGTTTTCAGCGGTCATGTTTGTGTTTGAGGATACACTGTGGGCATTTGTTCACATCCTGACCTCTCAGCAAACAAAGCTGATTTGATATTCTTGGATTCTGGTGAAGTTGGAGGGCCACGTGGTCACAAATCTCATTTTAAAGGGTCATTTGTGATCAGGAGTCTCCCTGGAAGTTCTTTTGCATATTGCAGTGTTCTTTCACCCACTGAAGGAAAAATTTATATCCCAGGTCTTCCTGTGGAATAATGATAGGTTTTTGTGAAATGGGATAAGTGAAGGCTTTGAGGGATGAAACTCAAAGTGCTTAGGGACAAGTGATTTGATCAGGACTATGGACTTTGAGTATGCTTGCTCAGATTTTGGAATAATCTTTTTCTGAGGAAGTACTGTGAACTAATCATCTTGGGTGTCTCCTTTCCTTTCACAGTATGAAATCCCAGAATCTCTCCTGGCCCAGAGGACTTTGCAGTTCTCGGTGTGGCATCACGGTCGTTTTGGCAGAAACACTTTTCTTGGAGAGGCAGAGGTCCAGATGGATTCCTGGAAGCTTGATAAGAAACTAGATCATTGTCTCCCTTTACATGGAAAGGTAGTCTCCTTTAACAACTCCCTACAGAGTTTGAATTTGCATCTGAGGTAGAATTGTCTGCAGTGACTTCTTCAGGAACAGTTTTGAATGTAGTCTGTGGAGTTCTCGCGCCCCCTGCTGGGGTTTCCTAGTTTAACAGTAATTTCAGATGCTCTGGGATGGCAAGTGTCAGTAATCTCTTCTGTTAACAAGCCAGGTGAACGATGAAGCTGTGGTTCCCCTTTGAAGTCTTTCATATATATGTGTGTCAAGCTTTGCCTCCTAACCTTCCAGAGTCTGGGTGTATCCTAACATCCTGACTTGTGCCTTTTCTCCAAGCTAACCTTTTGGATGTATCCTAGTCTGTGCTGGTTTTCCAAACTACCCTTTTCACTACAGAAATGGGAAGTAAACCAATTCATGGAGCACCACTTCCCATGCTCTTTGTCATACAAGCCAGGGAAAGTATTACTATGGAGATGGAATCCCAGGGGAGAGTGTAGCAGAGTGTGTAATATTACCTGGGATCTGAGTGTGGACCTGGATTTGAATCCAGCCACTGTGATTTGACAGCTAAGGAAATTACCTAACTTAAAAACTAAGTTAGGTAAGTCACCTAACTTCAGTGGGCCTTAGTTTCTTCATCTATAAAGTGGAAATGATAATAATATTCTCTTCTGCAGGATCGTATACAGAGTACCAATCAGTGCCTGGCACATAAAAGATAGTAGGTTACTGTCATTCTGCTTAAGACGAAATTGCTAAAACAGAGTTAGGAATTCTTGATTCTTGATTATCAGAACTTTTCAGTGACAAGGTTCTTCTGTAAAACTTTTTAAAATTACCATTTTCAATGCTAAAAATAGTTCATGGTAGATAGAATAACTTGGGAAAGATAGACATAGAAGTCGTAATAGTGACTACTTCTAAAAAGAGAAACTGAGGTGGGAGGACTTAGTTTTCTCTATATGCCCTTTTATAACATTTGAAATTTTTACCATGTCTACACATATATTGCTTATAAAGAACATTAAGAATAAAAGGATTTATGTGTACATGGTTCAAAATTAAAACAATATCAGTTCAGTTCAGTTCAGTCACTCAGTTGTGTCCGACTCTTTATGACCCCATGAACCATAGCATGCCAGGCCTCCCTGTCCATCACCAACTCCCGGAGTCCACCCAAACCCAAGTCCATTGAGTCAGTGATGCCATTCAACCGTCTTATCCTCTGTTGTCCCATTCTCCGCCTGCCCTCAATATTTCCCAGCATCAGGGTCTTTTCCAATGAGTCAGCTCTTCGCATCAGGTGGCCAAAGTACTGGAGTTTCAGCTTCAACATCAGTCCCTCCAATGAACACTCAGGACTGATCTCCTTTAGGATGGACTGGTTGGATCTCCTTGCAGTCCAAGGGACTCTCAAGTATCTTCTCCAACACCACAGTTCAAAAACATCAATTCTTCAGCGCTCAGCTTTCTTTATAGTCCAACTCTCACATCCATATATAACCACTGGAAAAACCATAGCCCCAACTAGACGGACCTTTGTTGACAAAGTTTCTCCATTTTAATATTCTGTCTAGTTTGCTCATAACTTTCCTTCCAAGAAATAAGCATCTTTTTATTTCATGGCTGCAATCACCATCTGCAGTGATTTTGGAGCCCCCAAAATAAAGTCAGCCACTGTTTCCACTGTTTCCCATCTATCTCCCATGAAGTGATGGGACAGATGCCATGATCTTAGTTTTCTGAATGTTGAGCTTTAAGCCAACTTTTTCACTCTCCTCTTTCACTTTCATCAAGAGGCTCTTTAGTTCTTCACTTTCTACCATAAGCGTGGTGTCATCTGCATATCTGAGGTTACTGATATTTCTCCCAGCAATCTTGATTCTAGCTTGTGTTTCCTCCAGCCCAGCGTTTCTCATGATGTACTGTGCATAAAAGTTAAATAAGTAGGGTGACAATATACAGCCTTGATGTACTCCTTTTCCTATTTGGAACCAGTCTGTTATTCCATGTCCAATTCTAACTATTGCTTCCTGACCTGCATACAGATTTCTCAAGAGGCAGGTCAGGTGGTCTGGTATGCCCATCTCCTTCAGAATTTTCCACAGTTTATTGTGATCCCACAGTCAAAGGCTTTGGCATAGTCAATAAAGCAGAAGTATATGTTTTCCTGGAACTCTCTTGCTTTTTCGATGATCCAGCAGATGTTGGCAATTTGATCTCTGGTTCCTCTGCCTTTTCTAAACCCAGCTTGAACATCTGGAAGTTCATGGTTCACGTATTGCTGAAGCCTGGCTTGGAAAATTTTAAGCATTACTTTACTAGCGTGTGAGATGAGTGCAATTGTGCAGTAGTTTGAGCATTCTTTGGGATTGCCTTTCTTAGGGATTGGAATGAAAACGGACCTTTTCCAGTCTTGTGGCCACTGCTGAGTTTTCCAAATTTGCTGGCATATTGAGTGCAGCACTTTCACAGCATTGTTTTTCAGGATTTGAAATAGCTCAGCTGGAATGCCATCACCTCCACTAGCTTTGTTCATAGTGATGCTTCCTAAGGCCCACTTGACTTCACATTCCTGGCTGTCTGGCTCTAGGTGAGTGATCACACCATCGTGATTATCTGGGTCATGAAGATCTTTTTTGTACAGTTATTCTGTGTATTCTTGCCACCTCTTCTTAATATCTTTTGCTTCTGTTAGGTCCCTACCATTTCTGTCCTTTATTGAGCCCATTTTTGCATGAAATGTTCCCATGGTATCTCTTTTTCTTGAAGAGATTGCTAGTCTTTCCCATTCTGTTGTTTTCCTCTATTTCTTTGCATTGATCGCTGAGGAAGTCTTTCTTATCTCTCCTTGCTATTCTTTGGAACTCTGCAGTCAAATGGGTGTATCTTTCCTTTTCTCCTTTGCTTTTCACTTCCCTTCTTTTCACAGCTATTTGTAAGGCCTCCTCAGACAGCCATTTTGCTTTTTTGCATTTTTTTTCCATGGGGATGGTCTTGATCCCTATCTCCTGTAAAATGTCACGAACCTCCGTCCGTAGTTCATCAGGCACTCTGTCAGATCTAGTCCCTTAAATCTATTTCTCACTTCCACTGTATAGTCATACGGGATTTGATTTAGGTGGTACCTGAATGGTCTGGTGGTTTTCTCCACTTTATTTAATTTCAGTCTGAATTTGGCAATAAGGAGTTCATAATCGGAGCCACAGTCAGCTCCTGGTCTTGTTTTTGGTGACTGTATAGCGCTTCTCCATCTTTGGCTTCAAAGAATGTAATCAATCTGATTTTTGTGTTGACCATCTGGTGATGTCCATGCGTAGAGTCTTCTCTTATGTTGTTGGGAGCGGGTGTTTGCTATGACCAGTGCGTTCTCTTGGCAGAACTCTATTAGGCTTTGCCCTGCTTCATTCTGTACTCCAAGGCCCAATTTGCCTGTTACTCCAGGTGTTTCTTGACTTCCTACTTTTGCATTCCAGTCCCCTTTAATGAAAAGGACATCTCTTTTAGGTGTTAGTTCTAGAAGGTCTTGTAGGTCTTCACAGAACTGTTTAACTTCAGCTTCTTCAGTTTACTGGTCAGGGCGTAGACTTGGATTACTGTGATATTGAATGGTTTGCCTTGGAAACGAACAGAGATCATTCTGTTGTTTTTGAGATTGCATAAAACAATATAGAAGTATATAAAAAGAAAAGTAGGTTAGCAGTTTTATTGACTGCTTGAATATCTTTATATAAATTTTGTATTAAGCAGGACAGATATATAAATATGGATTTACATTTTTTCCTTTTTACACAAATGAGCTCTTCTCATTGTGTGTATATATATCTTGATTTTTTTTCATTTAACACTTTGTCATTTATCATGGACATTTTTTATGCCATCACTACAGGTTTATCTCATTTTAATTGCTGGATAGTATTCTTCATGTGGGCTTCCTTTGTGACTCAGATGGTAAAGAATGTGCCTGCAGTGCAGGATACCTGATTTCAATCCCTGGGTCCAGAAGATCCCCCGGAGAAGGGAATGGCTACCTACTCCAGTATTCTTGCCTGGAGAATCGCAGGAACAGATGAGTCTGGTGGGCTACAGTCCATGGGATTTTAAAGAGTCAGAGACAACTGAATGACTAAGCACACATAACACATTCTTCATGTACCTGTATTATATTTTCAGTTCCCCCACTGATGGGCATTTAATTTTTTTGCCTCTTTTTTCTCTGTTAAAACTATGGTATGCTATATCTAGTCCTTCTTTTGTGAGTATAACTGTAGGAGAAATTTCTGGTGGTGGAATTGCTGAGTCAAAGAAATGAACATTTGTTATTTTGAAGCTACTGCCCTCCAAAAATATAGTAACAACATTAAAAATCTCCCTTTAAGTACTAATAAAAATAGGAAAGCCATTATAATAAAAATATAGCATATATTAGAAATTTAGAATTTCTTAAGCATTTCGCATATAAGTCATTCTCTCAAGGGCCTACAGTTGATACAATTATAATGAAAATATCATTGTAAACCATCATGAACTACTGCCAACAAAGAATGCCTTCCATCAAAAGAAAAACCTGCACTGAAATGGAACTGTTTGCTCTTTGAAATTATTTTGAGCCAGAATGAAAATATGCTCTTGAAACAAATATGCCAATTATGCCAATTTCCAGCTAAGGTTAAACCCTAATTTTTAAGAGTCCAGTGAAGCCCACAATCTAGAGACTAACAAATTGTATAGATATTTTATAAACAACAAAAAGACCACTCTAGTATTGCATATTTATTTTAACTGAAAACATTCTCCATTTATTGTCTCTGATTTTTCTTTTTTTGTTTTCTTGCCCTAGTGATCCGTTTGCTTCCATTCAGTTTTCTCTTCCTGGCATCCACCTCCCTATCCTTCTATGTCTCTTTCATCCATTACACTGCTGTGCATTCTTGGTATACGGTACATTTTTCCAGATTGATGGGGATTATGCCTTCCTTGTATTGCTATACTCAGAGCTGAGGCTCTATGTTCGAGGAGCCCCCATGAACACAGGCAGTGAAAGAGCACCTCTGATCTGCACCAGCTCATGCTCTGGATTCTAAGGCATAAGGAACACAGCCATGGCAAGAGAGCCAGCAGAGTGAAACCATCCTGCTGCTCATGGCCACTTGCTGCTCATCCCTGACACCTACTCATTCCCTCTTGCATTCTCTCAGGAAATATTTGTAGAGCACCTATATATGCCAGGTACATTGCTAAGTGTCCGGCATGCTAGGATGAACAATGATAAAAACACTTGATTCCTGTCTTCCTGGCATTTAGATTCTAGTGGTAGAGAGAGTCATTAACCAAAAGTAACATAAAATTAAAATTGTGGCATATTCAAATCCTAGTAACAGAGTTTCACCAAGCCCTCAAATATCTGCAAGCTCTTTTAAAAATAGACTTCTGATCTTTGAAAATCATACAAGTGATACTTGCCATTCTCATTAAAAACACTATAGATATAGAGAGAGTAAAAAGTGAAAGCCATTTTTCCTTTCCCATTCTACTCCCCTCTTTAGAAGATACAAGTGTTAAGTTTGTCTGTATCTTTCTGGGTTTTTCTATGCAGTGTAGCATGGTGGTTAAAAGCATGGATTCTGAATTGGAGTCTGTCTGAATGGAGTCTGTCTGAATTTGAATTCTGGCTCTGCCAATTACTATGTGACCTTGGGCAAGTTACTTAACTTCTCTGTTCCTCTGTTCCATAATCTGTAAAGTGGGGGTAATTGTACTCATGTCATAGGGAGTATCTTGAGGATTAAACAAAATGATATACTTAAAATACTATAACAGTACCTGGCAGATATAGTAAGTACTGTATGAGTGATAATGATAATAATCATTATTAAAATATATATATTCACATATACAAGTAAGAATATGTTTTAATATAGGTGGGATACTTTTTCTGCATCTTGCTTTGTTGACTTAACAGTACATCTTAGATATCTTTCCCTGTTAGCATGTAGAGATTCACTGCATTCTTTTTGAGGATCACATGCCATATGCCATATGAGGGCATTAAAATCACTCATTTAACCTTTCCTACATTGATTGACATTTAGATTGTTTCCACTTTGGGGCTATCACTAACAATGTTGGTAGCAAGATTCTTCATCATGGTGTCAGTCCCCTGTCAGTTTGTATGGCAGCCTTGCTTGAAGACCTTTAAGGGTATTTGGAATCTAGTAACAGTATCCCCAGAGTAGCAAAACAGTCAGCATCACAGAAGATTCTTTGTTAGTTCTTCTGCAGCTTCTTCTGAAGAAACTGCCTAGAATCCTGTGGCTGCCATGGCCTAGGGATTCTGGATGGTATTCATAAGGAGGAGGATACTTTTATGCTGTGAAGCTCTTCTTGCAGGTAATTTTAGAATTGCCTCAGTGAGAGGTCTCAACAGTCTGAATAGCCCAGCCTGACCTGTTGGTTTTCCCTGTGTTTCAGATCAGTGCTGAGTCCTCGACTAGCTTGCCAACACACAAAGGCGAGTTGGTGGTTTCATTGAAATATATCCCAGCCTCCAAACTCCCCACTGGAAGTGACCGGAAAAAGAGTAAGTTTTATTTGGGGCCTTGGATTTAACTCTTAGTTTTCTGCACTTGATCTGTGCAAGATTGGTGCTGGCTAGTGGCTAGCACTATTGGAGAGACCAGATTATGATTCACACTGGATCGTCTTCTAAGGGAGATTTCTGTAGTAGCCATTCCTGTTTTTCAACCAGAAGGGAATGCCTTCAAGTTGAAATTATTTTTTTTGTTTTGTCTTTTTTTGATGCCATTAAACTAACTTGGTCTTGGTCCAGCTCTGCAAGGCTACTTAGAAGTCAGAACAGGACAGAAACTTCAGGACTGAGAGAAGGTAGTTGGAAAGGGTGGTGTATAAGTATAAGGGACAGGAAGTTGAAGGCTGAGGAAGAGTAAGTCAACACACCAGGCACTGTACTAGTGACTGTGGATATGTAGGTGAATAAGACATGATTTTTGCCCTCCCTTGAACAGCTTATTTTAGAAAGAATGACAGTCATCTGCTCAAAGAACATAGATACAGGAGTGGTGAATTCTGTCTGGTTGTATTTTGGAGAGTTTTAAAGAGGAAGTAATGATGGTATTTTACTTAAGACTTTACCAGGCAGAAAAGGAAGAGGATGGGGTGAGAAGAGCACTTTCTAAGAAGAGGAGCTAGCAGGTGCAAAGGTTGGAAAAAAGCATGGTAAATGTGAGGTGGTGTGTGACTGTGAGGCAGTTAACTTCTTAGTTAAGTGGGGCTGGAGTTCTGGTATATAGATGTGGGAGTGGAGATGGAATTGTTGATGGGGTTGGAGCCTGGTTATAAAAGGCCATGGGCGTAATGGTAAGAAGTTGAACTTGATGCTTTGGCAACACAAGAAAATCAAGAAATTTTAAGAAAAATTTCTTAAAAAGTTACTTGCAGCAAGGTCTAATCTATAGTATTTGGGGAAGTCAATGAGATTTCCAAGGAGGCTGTGCAGGATGACTAGAGAAGAGAGGCAAGGAGAGAACCGTGGGGAACAATTTAAAGTATGAAGAGGGGGAAGAGAAGCCAGCGAGGTAGAGTCTTATCAGAAGAGAGCCATGCTGGGAGAGAGCTTGAAGAAGGGAGCAAGAGTTGTCAACAGTATTGAAATACCAGTGGCCTGTCAGGCCCAATGAGAAGACACAACTCCTTGGCATTAGATTACATTTTCAGTGGATCTCAGTGGAAGCAGAAGCCAGATTTCACTAGAAACTAGGCTGAGTGAATGAGGCAAAGAAGTATAAGTGATGCATGTGGACTCTATTTTCTAGGAAAATTGATGGTGACAGAAAAGAGCACAATGGAGGAGAGCTTGAAAAGGAGATAGGATGAAGGGAAATATTCTTTCAAAAGAACTTTTTAAAAGCATAAGTGAGATTAACATCTATTTAGACTGAAAGGAATGGAACCAGTAGAGAACAAGATATTAAAATGCGAGCTGGGGGTTGAAATTGATGATGCCTGATGAGTCTTGTTGCCATGGGAATGGGATTCGGAACAGAAGTGGAGGAGTTCCCTTTTTTCAATCATTCAACAAATATCAGGCAACTTTATTTCTTTATGCCTCAATCTTCTCACATGTAAAATGAGGACGATAGTCTATATCTCATATAATTGTTTTGAGGAATAAATGCTTAATGTAGAATATGGCAAATAGCCAGTTTTCAGTAAGTCTTTATTGCTATTTTTGTTATGACTTGAGTGCCTGTTGCTCACTGTCAGGCACTGTGCTGGGTACTGTGAATACAAGGCAGGTGTGGTCCACTTTTCGTGGAGCTGGCTGTCTTCAGGAACCAGGAGAGAAAGTGCTATGTAGATAAAGCTCGAGAGAAATGTGAAGGTGTCAGAACTCATTTGCTTTGACTGATATCCCTTCCAGGTAAAGGTGGGGAAGGGGGAGAGCTCCAGGTGTGGATCAAAGAAGCCAAGAACCTGACAGCTGCCAAATTAGGAGGGACTTCAGACAGCTTTGTAAAGGGGTGAGTCCATGGACCAGCACCAAATTAACTGGTTTCAGGACATGAGAGCTCAGAGAGGAATCCAGCTAAACCTTTCTCTGTGGATATTATCCCTGTGTGTCCTGCCACCTCCAGCAGCCAACTTTGTTCTTGAAATTAGGTAATGGCCCAGCCTCCAGTACTGTGTTGGCACTGATCAGAGCTCAGTTTGGACTGGGCTGCAGTGCTGATTTCCAAAAAGGAGAGTGGTGGACAGTTAGATCCGACTTTTCCTTTGTTATAGATTTGTGCTCTTAATCCTGAATAAAAATATGCATTCCTTGACTGTCAAGATGGGGACTCAGGACTTTGTTACCCACAGTATTTAAGCAATGCCAGCTTTCCCCAAGTTAAGTTCACCCCCACGGACTTCAGTTCTCTAGCAAATTTGAAATCATGTTTGGCAATGCCTATGTTTATTACAATGCCAATACTTTGGCCACCTGATGTGAACAGCCAGCTCATTGGAAAAGACCTTGATGCTGGTAAAGATTGAAGGCAGGAGAAGAGGGCGATAGAGGATGAGATGGTTAGATAGCATCACCAATTCAATGCAGATGAATTTGAGTGAACTCTGGGAGATATTGAAGGACAGGGAAGCCTGTCATGCTCCTGTCATGCTGCAGTCCACGGGGTCACAGAGTCGGACATGACTTGGCAACTGAACAACAAGAAGTGCTTATTACTGTTTTTTTTTTTTTTTACTAACGAGGACTTTGCCCAGTTGAGGTGGAACCAGATATTCAAAACCCATTTTTGGTGGAGTATAGACAAAAGCTCCCTAATAACATTGTGTTAATTTTCTCTCCAGGTTAAAGGCATTGAATCAGGTGAATGATCTAGTGGAGGTGGTAGGAACTGTGCTTCCTCAGATTCAAAGGAGGGAATATGTGTTCTTGGATCTGAGTTTTGACTCACCTTCCTGGGCTAGGCCTGTGGGAGAGGAAAGGGGAATTTAGAGAGATATTGCCAGCTTTGAGTAGGTTGTTGACTCCTCCACACTGTCTGCCAGATACCTCCTTCCCATGAGGAACAAGGCCAGTAAGCGTAAAACTCCTGTGGTGAAGAAGACCCTGAATCCCCACTATAACCATACATTTGTCTACAATGGTGTGAGGCTGGAAGATCTCCAACACATGTGCCTGGAACTGACTGTGTGGGACCGGGAGCCCCTGGCCAGCAATGACTTCCTGGGTGGGGTCAGGCTGAGTGTCGGCACAGGTGAGAGCTTCTCCCCTCACCCTCACTGTCTTCAGGGACTCTTATATATTTCAATCTGAATAGACCCATCCCTCTCCCTGCATGGGCTTCCCTGGTGGCTCAGATAGTAAAGAATCTGCCCATAAGGCAGGAGACATGAGTTCAATTCCCAGGTTGGGAAGATCCCCTGGAGGAGGGCATGGCAACCCACTCCAGTATTCTTGCCTGGAGAATCCCCATGGACAGAGGAGCCTGGTGGGCTACAGTCCATGGGGTCACAGAGTCGGACATGACTGAGCCACTTTCACTGCATAGCTCCTCTATGTCAAGAGTTGTCTTCTTTCCTTTCAGTGAACATCCGGACAGGATTTACTGAGTGCCTACTATGTGCAGGGCTGGAGGCAGGCCAAGCTCATGCACTGTCAGGTGTACAGATAAATGGTACTCCGAATGCCCAGGAATGCCATCAGCTTCCCACAAAAAACATCCCCAAATGTCCCTGTATCTGTACCTCTGATTTCCACCTTCCATCCTGTTATATAAAAGAAGGGGTCCTTCTAGCAAAGGCCAAGCTCTGCCCAAGTGTTCTAGATCACAACACTCACCTTATCAATGAACTTTCTTCTGGAATCTCCTGTCTCTCCTGTCTGATCAGTTTTATTCTCTCTACATCTCTATTGGAGGTGAAAGTCGATATGCTCTGGTATTTCTAGTCTTAATAAACAGAAACAAACCTTCTCTTGAGTCCATGTCCCCCCTCTAAACTCTGAAAAAGAGTCGTCCCCATGTCCTCATGTCTCCTTTAGTCTTCAGTCCACTGTGATCCCACTTCTGTCCCACCACTCTACTGAGCAACAGCTTGTGTCAAAATTTTGTTTTCGTCATTCTAGAATTTTCATGCTATTTAACATAGCTGATCACTCTCTTTTTCTTGAAATAACTTAGCTTCTGTTGACACCACACTTTTCTTTGGGGCATCCTCATTCTCTAGCCAAACTTGGAATATTAGTGGTTTTCAAGGCTTAGTCTTGAATACTCTTTTCTGTCTCTACAGTCTACATTCCTGTGGCTGTGACTATTACTTGTATATTGTTAATTCATACAAAGTATTTAACACAAAGAATCTAGAATGATGTTCTTACAAATGTAAGCTGGTTCATGTCAGTCCCCTGCTTAAAACCCTTCAGGGGCTCCTACTGTTCTTAGAAAACAACCCAAAGTTCTCATCATGCCAAGAGGCCCCTGTGTGATCTGGACCCTCTGTTCATTTATTATCTGTCCTGTAACACTGCTTGCTCACTGTGCTCTAAACATGGTGACTAGCTTTCTGTTCTGCAAATATACCAAGCTTCTCCCCACTTTATAACCTCTGCAATTAGTGTTCCATCTGTCTGGAAGGGCTGCTTCCTTTCTGTCCTTCAGCTCCTGACTCAAATATCTCCTTCTCAGAGGGGCCCAAAGACCACTTCATCTGAGACCGTGATCTAGGCACTACAAATCACTCTGTTTATTCGCTTTATGATGCTTACCTCACTCTTGTTGGTTTACTTCTGTATTTTCTATCTTCTCTATTCAAACACGAGTTGCCTGAAGGCAGAACATTTTCTGTGTTTTTCACACTGTACCTCCAGAATCTGGAAGAGTACTTAGTACACAGTAGCCACTTGATAAATGTTTCCTGAATGAATGAATGTACAAGAGAATAGAAATGAGGCCCCATATAATCCAAACTTCAAGCCTGGAGTCTACAGCTAGAAAATAAAAGTAAGTGTTCAGCTCTCTTTCTTTCTGCCTCCCTCTCACCCTCTCTGTCTCCTTTCCCCCCTCCTTCCTTCCTCTCTCCCTCTTTCTTCCTTTCTTCCTCCCTTCCCTGCATTCCCCTCCTCTCCCTTTCCACCATAAGTCAACTTGGCAGTAACAGAATGACCCTAGCTGTAATAGCCTTAGAATAAGAGGTCTCGAGCTACTGTGTGCCATTTGGAGCCCTGTTTTATCAACTTGAAGTCTCTTGATGGAATCTCAGGAGCAGAGAAATATGGCGGTGCAGAGTCAACAGGGAGCTGTTCCCAGAACACTGTCCCCATTAGCCCATCTTCATAGCACACTGTCTTTTATGGGATGTTGCCCTTAATGCATAACCCATCTTCTCTGGTGGGCTGAGGAGTGGGATCTCTGTTCAGCCTCCTCTGGTGTTTTTCCTCAGGGATCAGTAATGGGGAAGTGGTGGACTGGATGGATTCGACTGGGGAAGAAGTGAGCCTGTGGCAGAAGATGAGACAGTACCCAGGGTCTTGGGCCGAAGGGACTCTGCAACTCCGTTCCTCAATGGCCAAGCAGAAGCTGGGCTTGTGAGCCCTGTCCTTCTCTGCAGGTCCATTCCTGTCCAGGGCAAGTCAGAGGAAGCAAAGAAACCAAGGGCGAAGATTTATAATTTGTATGTGTGTGTGATGTGTGTGTGTGTATAAATGTGTATTTCTACAGATCTCATTATGCTAGAGTGATGTAGACTTCCCCTTTTTAAAGGAGGCTCAAGAATAAGGGTCTCTTAAAAATATTTTTATTTGTGCATTAACTACTATATATTTCCAGAGTCCATGATTCTTATATCTTTATGAGATTTAATTAATTTATCTTTTAAAACAACTTTTTAATCGCCTGTCTTGCTATCCTGGTTCCTCCTTCTGTAGGAAGCCCTGGTTGCCTTTGGCACTTGTACTGGTGTTTCAGGGTGTGCCTGGTCTGAGGCCAAGGCTCTGGGAAGCAGGGGTGGTTTACTAAAGACAGAATAAGATTGGAGAGAGGTGACTTGATTCCTTCTTTCTCCTCCACTTTATGCTTTTCACTCCATTTCTACCTTGACACATTTCTGAAACTTGGCTTTTAACTCTTGTTGGAGCAGTTTCCACCTTGCTTCGGTCTAATAGTTTTCCTGGAAATGCTAAGAAGATGTCTAAGTTGCTTCCAGTTCTGAACACCTTCCCTAGACCTCTGCAGGACCCTTATAATAGAGTCACTTTAGAAGAGCACTTTAATTTGATAATGGCCTTTGGACTAGGTCACAGGCATGCCCAGTACAGGCTTCTCAGTGGTCCCAGAGGACCAGCAATGGAGCATCTCTCAGCCCGTGCTGATTCTTTGCATTTTAAATTGATATAGCAGTCATTAGAAAGCTCATAATGAATGGAAAGACATTTTCGGTCCCACATACCACATCTTTCATAGCATTTGTGTCCGCCATGTGTTACAGTCTACACACTTTGATTGTGTGGATCACAAAAAACTGGAAAATTCTTAAAGAGATGGGAATACCAGACCACCTGACCTGCCTCTTGAGAAATCTGTATGCAAGCCAAGAAGCAACAGTTAGAACTAGACATGCAACAACAGACTGGTTCCAAATTGGGAAAGGAGTACGTCAAGGCTGTATATTGTCACCCTGCTTATTTAACATTTATGCGGAGTACATCATGAGAAATGCTGGGCTGGATGAAGCACAAGCTGGAATCAAGATTGCCAGGAGAAATATAAATAACCTCAGATATGCAGATGACACCACCCTTATGGCAGAAAGCAAAGAAGAACTAAAGAGTCTCTTGATGAAAGTGAAAAAGGAGAGTGAAAAAGTTGGCTTAAAACTCAACATTCAGAAAACTAAGCTCATGGCAGCTGGTCCCATCACTTCATGGGAAATAGATGGGGAAACAATGGGAACAGTGACAAACTTTATATTTTTGAGGGCTCCAAAATCACTGCAGATGGTGACTGCAGCCATGAAATTAAAAGACGCTTGCTCTTTGGAAGAAAAGTTATGACCAACCTAGATAGCATATTAAGCAGCATAAACATTACTTTGATGACAAAGGTCTATATAGTCAAAGCTATGGCTTTCCCAGTAGTCATGTATGGATGTGAGAGTTGGACTATAAAGAAAACTGAGCACTGAAGGATTGATGCTTTTGAACTGTGGTGTTGGAGGAGACTCTTGAGAGTCCCTTGGACTACAAGGAGATCCAACCAGTCCATCCTAAAGGAAATCAGTCCTGAATATTCATTGGAAGGACTGATGCTGAAGCTAAAGTTCCAATACTTTGGCCACATGATGTGAAGAACAGACTCATTGGAAAAGACCCTGATGCTGGGAAAGTTTGAAGGCAGGAGGAGAAGAGGACGACAGAGGATGAGATGGCTGGATGGCATCACCAACTTGATGTAAATGAGTTTGCACAAGCTCCAGGAGTTAGTGATGGACAGGGAAGCCTAGCATGCTGCAGTCCATGGTGTTGCAAAGAGTCAGACACAACTGATCAACTGAACTGAACTGTCGTATCAGCCTGAATTGCCAGCTATTGTCTAAACCAGTCCAGTGTTTTCTCTAGGCTGGGCACTGTTAGTGTCCAAGAGAGTGTGTTCAGAGAACACAGCTTTTCTGACCTCCTTCTTGAAGTGGTTTCCGTTCCTATTTTTTTTCTCTTGTTTCCCAAAGTTGACCTAGATATAACCTGGGTATGGTGGGTTGAAACCTTCCTAAGAAGGGTCTATTGACCTAAGATTCATTTTCTGAAACCCACTGTCCCAAACTGACCTTTTAATTCTCACAATTGCACCTTCCCAAAGTCATCTGTAAAGGGAGTCTATACCGGAGAAGAAGTTCCTTTCAGTAGAGTCAGCTGTCAGCTGCCTGTCCTATGAGGCTGCGGGATTGAGGGTGGATACTGTGGTTTATGTTGTATGTATGAAGTGAACAAAATAGTATTGGTGTGGATTAATATTGTACTGCAAAGCATAACTTGGGATCCTGGACTGTCACTTGCTCCTTTGTTCTCCACCCCCCCCCCAATGTCTGTGCGCTTCAATAAAACTTTCTTCCTTGTCAAGTGTTTGCATTCCTTAGTTCTCTAGACACTTTTGTCTCTGATGTCCTGACTTTGTTGTTGCTTTTCATATGGTTTGAAGGATAAGAACCAAAGTGACAAATGCCCTTCCCTAAGCATCATTTGCTGACTCAAAGAAAATTTCCCTCTCCCTGCATTACTGCCTGATACCTCCTCTGAGGTCTGATGCATTGATCTGTATGTTTGGTATATAAGGAGAGAATGAGAACCCACCTTAGAAGTGCCAATGCTTGTCTTTCTCTAAAGTATCAAAAGAACTCCTCCTTTAGATTTGTAGCCACTCCCCCACCCCATCTCTGCAGCTTCAGGAAGGAGAGAAAAGTACACAGGGTAGGAAAGACATCCTCTGCTGTTTCTTTCTGGATCTTTTACTTTCTTTAGGAGGGAGGGCCTTTTCTATTACTCCTACTTCCACTATTTACTTTTGGGAGATAAATAACCCAGATGCCTAGTGACCCATCTCAAAAATAATGCTCTTGGTTTCTGGGTAAAGCCCAAGTGATTATTGATCTCTTATACAAAAGGGCATGAAAATATATTGAATGCCTCTTGGGTACAAAGCTTTCTGCTAGGCATATGTTATTTCCTTAATTTCTCCAAGTCCTTATTGAAAGGTTGCTGCTATGAGCCATGAACCACGCTATGATTTTTGGCCTCTGGAAGAGAGGAATTCGATCTGGGGCCAGTGATAAGGCTTGATTGCTCAGAGATTTTTGTGTAATAAAGTTTTATTAAAGTATAAAAGAGACAGAGAAAGCTTCTGACATAGACATCAGAAGGGGACAGAAAGAGCGCCCCCTTGCTAGTTTTTAACAAGGAGTTATATACCTATCCAATTTAGTTCAGTTCAGTCGCTCAGTTGTGTCAGACTCTTTGCGACCCCATGAATCGCAGCACGCCAGGCCTCCCTGTCCATCACAAACTCCCGGAGTTTATTCAAACTCATGCCCATCGAGTCGGTGATGCCATCCAACCATCTCATCCTCTGTCGTCCCCTTCTCCTCCTGCCCCCAATCCCTGCCAGCATCAGGGTCTTTTCCAGGGAGACAACTCTTCACATGAGGTGGCCAAAGTATTGGAGTTTCAGCTTCAGCATCAGTCCTCCCAATGAACACCCAGGACTGATCTCCTTTAGGATGGACTGGTTGGATCTCCTAGCAGTCCAAGGAACTGTCAAGAGTCTTGGCCAACACCAGAGTTCAAAAGCATCAATTTTTCAGAGCCCAGCTTTCTTCACAGTCCAACTCTCAGATCCATACATGACCACTGGAAAAACCTATTAGCAAGCTGCAAAATGGAGAGAGTTGCACCGGGCCCCTCACCCACAATGTGCATTTTGAGATAGCATTGGCACAAGGTGAGTCATCCACGACCATAAAACAGTTGACAGGAATCTTGAAGAAAGGCAGTTCAGTTCAGTCGCTCAGTAGTGTCTGCCTCTTTGCATCCCCATGGACTGCAGCCCGCCAGTCTTCCCTGTCCATCACCAACTCCCAGAGCTTGTTCAAACTCCTGTCCATCGAGTCGGTGATGCCATCCAGCCATCTCATCCTCTGTTGTTCCCTTCTCCTCCTGCCTTCAAACTTTCCCAGCATCAGGGTCTTTTCCAATGAGTCCATTCTTCACATCAGGTGGCCAAAGTATTGGAACTTCAGCTTCAGTCTTTCCAATGAATATTCAGGACTGATTTCCCTTAGGATGGACTGGTTGGATCTCCTTGCAGTCCAAGGGACTCTCAAGAGTCTTCTCCAATACCACAGTTCAAAAGCATCAATTCATTGGTGCTCAGCCTTCTTTACGGTTCAACTCTCACATCCATATGTGATTACTAGAAAATCCATAGCTTGACTAGATTTCCAAGCAAATACATAGTTCATTAACATAGTTTAAGGAAAACATTTCCATGAGAAAAATGCATTGGTTATCTCAAGGTTTGAGATAAAGTTAAGTTCAAGTGGAACCAGGTGTCACCATGACAACACATTAGAAGAGAAAAGAAAAAAAGCTCTGCCACTTCCAGTTTTATTTCCTCCTGCCACTTGGCCTCCCTACTGAGGCTATTAAGACTCTCATTATGAAGTAGGAAAACTTCCCTTTGCACAGGTGAGGAAAGTCAGCCCACTCTCAGGCATTAGAGTGGGGATGTGAAGCAAGGTCTGACTCTGCTGGAACATTCTGCCTCCTGTGAAGATGATATGCATGTCAGGGGCCAAGATTTGAAGGAAGGGATGGTTCTTCTGAAATATCTCGAAGAAAGGAGTTATGCTCACAGGACAGAACAACCAAATGCTTTGATGTTACCTAGTCAGCAGACTGATGGAATAGCTTGTGTGTGTGTGTGTGTGTGTGTGTGTGTGTGTGTAGGCCCTAGAGGGTTGGGTCTAGTAACCCCTTTGGGTCTGGCTGGCAATCTGACTCCACTGTGTTTCCTTCCCCTATTTTAATGAGTTAGAATTTCCT